CTCCTTCCCCATTTATACCCTGATGACCAGGGGTGGGGAGGGACTAAGCAGAACTGGGTGAGGGAGTAGGGATGGGAGAGAGAGGTACTGGAAGGTAGGCACACTCATGGCCAACTCCATTTTGGTTCTTGGTTTCAGGCCAAGACACCCTTCCTGGTTCCCAGCGGACAGCCCTGCCCGCACAGTCCTCTGAAAAGGCATCACCGAAGCCCCTGTGACATTACAGCGGCTATGGTGGCAGCACCTACTGGTTCCGGGAAACGGATAATGGGTGTAGCCTACACTCACTGCCCAATTTGGGTCCTTGGGGGGCATTGGTAGGGGCGCGTGAGCAGAAACTGAGGACAGAAGGGGCTAACTTCATCTGGATTCAGCCTTGACATGGTCTTCCCAACCCCTGCTCAGCCGCAGGATGAAAGATGAAAGATTCGTGATGTCACCAAGGGCCTCTGTGATGTCACAACAGCAAGGACCTAGGCTGGGGCTGCCTGCTGAGGTGCTGCCTTAGGCCCTCAGAAGGTTCTGGGAACCTGCCTTGGCTAAACCAGGGCTTGGCCTGGCCTGGGCGAGGGCCGATGAAGTCCAGGGTGTGGGGCATGTGGCCTGTTCCAAAGTGTCTCCCAGACCAAAACCTGCCAGTTTGGGTGGGGCACCATTGGCCAGGAGGGACAGCGTGGGCACAGAGAGGTGAAGGAGAAGCTAGAATAAGAAGTTGCAGTAATAACAATAATGATGAGCACCCAGTGCTCCTATATGTCAAGCATTGTTCTAGGCATTGTATGTGTATTACTTTTTTAAATTTCTCAGTACTCTAGAAGGTAGGTGCTTTTTTTTTTTTTTTTTAAGATTTTACTTATTTATTTGACAGAGACACAGCGTGAGAGGGAACACAAACAGGGGGCGTGGGAGAGGGAGAAGCAGGCTTCCCTCAGAGTGGAGAGCCCAAAGTTGGGCTAGATCCCAGGACCCCGGGATCATGCCCGAGCCAAAGGCAGACGCTTAACCACTGAGCCACCCAGGCGCCCCAGGTAGGTGCTTTTTATCCCTGTTTTACAGATGAATGAACAGGCCCAGAGAAGTTGATAAAAAGTTGCTTTTTATCCCTGTTTTACAGATGAATGAACAGGCCCAGAGAAGTTGAACGACTCTCCCACATCACTCAGCTAGTAGATGGCTAAGGAAGAACTCAGACAGCCAGGATGCTCCGGGCCACCGCTACCCCGCGGGAGTTAAAGTACAGAAAAGTGCTTCCGTAACCAGCAGAGCACCACTTTCAACTGAGTATTGTCTGAGGGCTGAAAGCGAGCCAGCGAGGGCTCGCAGAGGGATCCGGCGGCTGGTAGCCCCGCCCCGCTCTTATCAGAGCCCCCAACCCGTGCCCCCCCCCAACCGCCTCTTCCCGAGTTTCCCTCTGGTCTCCTCCGCTGATACACTTGCCTCCTATCCCCACCACATACATCCCAGCCATGGCTCTGGTTCTGCAGCTACTGCTGCTGCTGCTGTCAAGGGCCCAGGGAGACCCCGGGGGTAAGCCATCTTCCCCCAGGAAAGTTGGGAGTGGGCGCAAGGAAAGACTGAAGGGCGGGGGGTGCTGGGGAGGGGAGGGTTGATGTGTGGGGGATGATCCAGGCTGGCGGGAGCTCAGAAGAGAGGGGAGAGAGAGGAGACGGGAATGGGGTTCGGGAGTGGGGTTAGTCTAGCCCTGTGGACTTGCCCTAACCTCTGTCCCCTCCAACCCCAGCTTCACTGGACGGCCGTCCCGGAGACCGGGTGAATTTCTCCTGCGTAGGGGTCTCGCATCCCATCCGCTGGGCCTGGGCGCCTAGCTTCCCTGCCTGCAAGGGCCTGTCCAAAGGACGCCGCCCAATCCTGTGGGCCTCCTCGAGCGGGACCCCTACTGTGTCTCCAGTCCAGCCCTTTGCTGGTCGCCTACGTGCCCTGGACCCCAGTATCCGGCGGCTGGAGCTGCTCCTGAGCGCGGGGGACTCAGGCACCTTTTTCTGCAGGGGCCGCCACGAAGAAGAAAGCCGTACAGTGCTTCACGTGCTAGGGGACGGGGCTGATTGCAGGGCACCGGGGTCTACCCACGGTAGGTCCAGGCCTTTGCGCCTGGGACTTCACTCACACACCCTCGGGAGGGAGAGAGGCCTTAGCGGGAGGTTTCCTGGACGGGAGATCTAGTTCTCTGTCCTCGCACCCCTGACCTCAGTATCCGTCACACCCTGTCCTCCGTTCACCCAGGGTCGGTGAATCCCCAGCTCCTGATCCCCCTGCTGGGCGCTGGGCTGGTGCTGGGAGTCGGGGCGTTGGGCGTGGTCTGGTGGTGGCGCAGGTGAGCACAATGGGCGGGGCCTGGTTACATGGGTCGGGACCGGAGGCGGGAGGGATAGGACCAGAACCTTCGCAGACAGAAGCTAGACCTAGAGCTCGGGCGTGTGGTTTATAGAGGAAGGGGGCGGAGGAGGGAGGTCACCCCTTGGGCCGAGGCCACAGGCTGGTAGGCGGAGCCCTGGCTAAGGAGGCGACGCTAGAGCCGGAGCAGGATCAGAGCGTGGGCGGAACTATCTGTGGGGGTGGAGCCTAAATTGTTTTGCGGGTCTGAGCCTTTGAGTTGCTGGGTTGCTGTTGGCCCCGAGGAAGACGAGATAAAACTGGTGGCTCTCAAAGACTTATACATCCGTTACAGACGATCACCCCCGCACCCGCCTCGACCACTCCCCAGATTTGGTGAGACTAACCACCCCATTTTTCTACTGCTCCCACACTTCCCGCCTCTCAATTCCTGAGTCTGAGCCCTTGCTGGAAGCAGAATGTTGGTCCCTTTCTCTCCATTTTTCAGCTCTGTTCACCACTTCCCCTCATATAGATCCACTCGCGAAAGTCAAGCCCCAGAGGCCAGTAAAGGAGGAGGAGCCCAAGACTGCAGGGGACCTGGACCAGGAGGCGGTAAGGGCCTGGCGATTGGAAGGGGGTTGGACAGAATCCCTGAGAAGAGTGGACTGAGAAAGAGAGAGGCCTGAATCCCCCAGCGAGTCAGACTTCTGAGACTCTCCTGCCTTCCTCCTCACCTTTCAGAGCCTGCTCTACGCAGACCTGGATCATCTGGCCCTCAGAAGGCCCCTCCGGTTGTCCCCCATGGTCCCAGCTGATGCCTCGACCATCTATGCGGTTGTAGTTTGAAGGGAAGCCCTTATTTCCAACCTCACAAGCTGAAGGTTCCCAGCTCTCCACAGCTCCCCTCTCCTTCTCGGCCCCTCACCTGGCAATGGATGCACCATGGGACAGAAATGAGCACTAGTATGGGAGTCAGGAGCCCTGGGTTCTCTGCTCTGCCACTGATCTTGCTCCTTCAGTTACCCCATCTCTCCTATAACTTTCACATCTTCTTCACCACTGGGGCCCTCTCTAAACCTGATCAAGCCCTGTCTCCCTATCTTAAGACATCAACAAGTCCTAGATAGTTGTCCTGTCTCTTCCCTCCCCTGCACAGTCCAGCTCTTTGAACCAGGGGCCTACACTTTGTCTTCTCCTTGACTCCACTCACACTGCTCCTCATCTCTCCATGAGGTTGCCAGTGATGTCCTAATGGCCATGCCAGTAGCGTTTTTAGTTGGTCTTTGGTTACTTCCTTCTTTAATGCTGGCATCTTCCCTTTGGACTCCTCTGCCCTCCTCCCTATTCCCATGGTATCCCCCACCATTCTAGGTTCGTCCCTTTATCTGACTTCCCTCTCTTCTGGGAATCTGGCATCCACAGCCAGTCCTTAAGCCTCACCTCTGCAAACAACACTCAGAACTCTCTCCAGCTCAGATCTCAAGTAATGAGATTTCCCATCTATCCCTGGGACAGCCCTGCCTGGTCAGCCATAGACATTCTTCACACAGCATATCCCAAACCCAACTCACTGTCACTCACTTCATCCTCCTCTGTAGTCTCTCTTGATCAACCAGTTGCCTAAGCCAGAATCTGGGAGTCATGCAGACCTCGTTCTGCTCACTCCCACACAACGAACCAAGTCCTGTCTTTCTATTTTAATGTCAAGGTGAAATCCATACCCTTCTTCATGCCCAGGGCTGCCACCTGAATATACTCTCCTCATTTCCTCCCTGGGTGACTCATAGCCCCACCTCATCCTCTTGCCCCTGCCCTCCTCCCTGAAGCCAGAGGGGTCCTCCCCAATGCAAACCTCCTCCTCACAACCTGTATTCCAGAGTTGCAGGATGTCTTTCCAGGACCTTTTCTTGGACCCATGGGCCTTGGCTTTGGGTATAAGGTGCTGGCAGCACTCTGCCTACCTTCCAGACTTGTCTCTGGCACTCCACATGTGCACAGCCTGCCAGCCTGGGAGAGATTCTCCCCAGCCTCCAAATACGTTTTTGTGCCAGGCAAGTCCTTCTTTCCGGATCACCCTTTTTTCCTTCTCCCCACTACCTTCCTGCCTAATAATTCATCCCCAAGACTCAGCTGAAATGTAGCCATTTCTGGGAAGCCATTCCTGACCCTCTTTGCCTACCCCTGCATACATTTTGATTTTGATGCTGTAGGCAGTCTCCTTATTTATCTCTTAGCAATCACACCCTGTAAATTGTTCCATCACAACCTGTATTTCAGTTTCAATGTACTGTGAGTTCCCTGCTCTCAGGAGACTGACCCTTTTTATATTACTGCTAAGCCTCAGTAAATGAGTGAATGAAAATGAATGTCCCTGGAAGCGTTACTTCTTCCTTTCTATCAACTAGGAGTGGGTTGGTAATCTACCACTCTCTGAATCATCTGACATTTAGATAATGAGTGATCCACCCTACTCTTTCTTCTCTATGTCACATATGCTCCCCACAATAGAAATTCTATCCTGTCCATCTTGCACCCAAACACCTATAATAGGGCTGGGCAATGACTCAGTAAGTGCCTAATGAGGGTTTGATGAATGAAAGACTAACCTCAACCTCAGATTTCAGCCCTGCCCCTATCCCAGTTAAGACACCAGCCACAGCCCAGTCTAAAAGGTCAGTTCTGTTTTATTAGTTCTGTGGGAGAAGACTCACCCAGTGGACTCTATCATTTTTCCCACACTAAGCCCCCCCCCCATCTTGGGGCCCTCTCCCCACTACTATACCTATTCACCGTCCTCTATCTAAGCCTCCTTCCGCTTCTACTCCCTATGCTGCCCAAACATTGGCCAGCCAGAACCCTAAGGCCAGGAGCTCAGCTGTGGGGACGCGTGCTGAGCACCAGGCAGAGGGAGCTGAGCCCGGCGCCTGCCTTCTCCAGTTCTGAGCAGGACACAGGTACCAGGGTGACATCAGAGAGCTTCTGCAATGCCTGCAGGAAGAACACGAAATGGGAGAGGGGAGTAAGACTCTGAGGCCACAGCCAGGCCCTTCTTGGAGCCGGCCATGCTTCTAGAGAAGGTACCCCTTCTTTGTCCCACTAGGAAGGCTCGAGACTCCTTCCTCTGGTTGTTGTTAGTAGTGGAGCTCTTGCCTCCTCTCACCTCCTGGCTATTGGGCAGGTCCCCGCCTCCACGGTGCAGGAGAAAAGGGTGCACACCAGGCAGCCCAGGTCGCAAAAAGAGACAGTCAGCAGCTGCATCATCTGGGAGAGTCAGGGACGCATAGGGGTGGTCTGTCAACACTGCCATCGCCTGAGGAAGGGAAAAAGAAGAAGTGGTCAAGTCTCAGAGCCTCCCCACAACTGAGTCTGGTGGCCCTACCACCACTAAGGGCTGGGAACACAGTTACATTTGTTGCATGATAATGATAGCAAGTACTTGCCCTTAGTATGTGTCAGGCACTGTTCTAAGCATTTTAGAGACTTTTGTTAAGTTCCACCTCAGACCCACATGCAGTTCTTACTACCTGCGGCCCTCTTCTCCCCTTCTTCAGCCCCCACCAGTCCATGTCATCCATCCTTCCTCATTGCTTAGATGCCACCTTTGAGAAGTTTCTTGAAACTCGGGAAGACGATGTTAATCGACTGTGTTTCCTGTCCTGCCATAGTAACTTCTTGCTTTCTGACGTGTTTTCATACCAGATGGACAGCTCCATGAGGGCAGGGGTTGGAATTAAGTCTCTGAACCTCCCCGCTTTCAGCCTTACAGGACAAGAGCCACGCCCACTTTTGTTGGCCCCACCCTCCTCACCCTGACAGCCTTTTGGGCAGCCTCGCTGCTACCAGCCACGACCGTGCGGGGTCCCCCCATGCCGCAAAGACCGCGCAGATGGGAGGTGCTCGAGACCGGCACTGTGGAGACAGCGAAGTCCTAGGGGCAGCAAAAGAAATTACTCAGGGACGCGGGAGGGATGGGGGATTCCCTCAAACACAGGTTGCTCTGGGCTCCTTTCTACTCCGCGCCCCCTCCGTGCGCCCCTCCCACCCAATCCGCTCCCCGCTTCCCCAGCAAGAAGCTGGTCCCGCTCCTCACTCGGAACGTGTCTGCCACGATCTCAGCTCCTCGGTGATTGGTCCACTTGGAGAGGCCTACGAAAAACTCCCGGCCTGAGCCCAGGGAGGCCGCGGAGGTTTGAGAGCCAGAGTGAGTTGGAAACAAGGCCCAAAATGGCCTAGTCTCCCCAGCTCTGCTTCCCAATGCAAAGCCCAGGGATGCAGGCACCTCAACCTCACCCGTAAAGAGAACATCAGTGCCATCCAACGTCGCGTTCTCATCCCCCATCTCCACAATCCGGAGCCCAAGGTCCTGAAGGGCTTTGCGGACTCCATCGACCTTAGGGCAGGAAAGAGGGCGCGGGGCAGAGACATTCCCAACCATAACTCTTAAAGCCCCGCACGTCCAGCTCCTCCTTTCCCCTTACCCCCAAACCGCGCCGCGGCGCTCACCTCCGGCCTGCGGGAGGGGCTCCAGGGACGCGTAATTAGGGCCGTGTCCCCTTGGATCACGGCGGTGTCACCGAGGAGCGGTCCCAGCGGCAGCGACTCTTCAGGAGGCAGTTCTAGCAGCTGCAGCCCCAACCGCTGCCTCAGTTTACCCCCCAGTACCCCGTGCTCCCTCTGAGCTTTAGCCAGGTCCAGAGCCGGGAGGCCAGCCCCCGCACCCTCCCCCGAAGCCAGGCTCTCCGGGACCCCCCGGATCAGGGCATGGGAGCAGCGGCCCAGCCCCTCCCCTGGCGTCCCCATCCCATCCACACAGTCTCCCCCTCCGGCCGCGCTGATTTCTTAGTTTTCTCTTTTTACTTCACCTGTCTGGGATAAGAGAAAAGGGGAGTGGGGTTGGCAGAGAAAGAGACATGCACAGAAGGGCGTAGGGGGGTGGTTAAGAGCGCCCGGGTCTTCCTTCTGCCATCTCCGGGCGCCCCTCCCACTTCGCCCCACCCCCTCCAGACCTTCCTCTCCTGCCGACCCCATTCCACCCCGCACCCTTCTGGGTCTGGTCTGCTTCTTTGGAAGGAGTCCGAGGAACAAGACCCCTAATTTTCACAACACCTGTTGCCCCAGTTAGGGGGCTTTGCGAGGTCCCTGCTAGGCGCCCCTCTTGGCAGCCGCTAGGATGCGCTCACTCCCCAAAAATGCAACGGTCCCGCCCCCTTAACCCTCAGCTGCTCGCTGCCATAGGGACCCGAAGTGCGGCGAGGGACCCAAAGGGGTTATGGGACAGGAGGAGGCAGCTGGGGAGAGAGTCAAGGCCTGGAAGATGGAAGTCCTGAATGCCCAAACGAGAAAAGAGAAGAGGGGTAACGAGGGAGAAATTAGAATCTAAGGAGTTAAGTCCCTCCACCCGGGCCGGTCCCGCTGCCCCTAGCGCGACCCAGTATAAACCAGACCGAGTCCCCGAGGACTGGGAGAGGTCTAAAACGAAATCCAAGGGGCGGGGAAACCGGGGGCGTGGTCCCAGGGAGCGGCTGCCACTCCCGGCTCCAGGACCCCGTCTCCTGGTCCATCTTCCCCAAAGTCTACCCCGCTCAGCAACGCACCCAAATTTCGGCCTCCTGCACTCTGTCCGTTGCAGGCACGGACCCGGCATCCTCAAGCTCCAGCCTGCGCACGGTCCAGAGGACATCTCCAACCCCTAGGCTTACCTCCAGTGGCCACCCCGACTCCTGCGTTCTGTGATCTTGGCTGGGGCCCCACCCCCCTGAGGACAGAGTTGGAGAAGGGAGTCCTAGTCTTCAAGCCTCGGGGACTGGAGCTCTTTGCTTTTGAGGGGTCCCCGGGTAGGCGAGCTCAAGAACTACGGTGGGGCGGGGGCGCGACGGTCTGGCGGCTCCGGGGCATTGTCTAAGCGGGACGGGGCGGGGCTCCTAGAGACCACGCCCATTCCGCCCTGCTACGCCGCGCCCACTCCAGGGGGACTTCGTTCCCCTCCTCAGAACTTGGCCCCGCCCCGTGAGTGCTGCCCAGGCCCACCCAGATCTGGCTGGCCCCGGCGGCTGGGCTGCAAACGCGACATGGACCACAAGACAGCGTTACGGTGGACCGGCATGAGGAATGGAAGCCTGACCACCAATACCCCTCTTCTAAATTCCTCGCTTCTGCCTTGAGCTCAAGGTCACTGACCCACCTCTCATTCCCGTGTTAGCCACACTCAAGACCCCTTTGTGTAAAACGACACTGTATTTTCATTCTGTATTTTATTACTGAAATACATTGTCCTACCCGCACCACCCCACAATAAAAATCTTACCTAGATTCCCCATCTTTCCCCTCAGCCCCCCAGCCAGCCCTGCACAAGTGCTCCAGGATTCTCTGCCCACTGGCTGTTTTGGAGTGTGTCCCTTGGATAGCCACGTGGAAACCAGCTGCTGCCTTTGTGCAGAGGGAGACGGAGCCTCAGAAAGCACTTATTTGAGGGCCTTGGCCACTTGCTCATAAGCCAGCTCGATCTCCTCATCATCTGGACAGGTGGAGGCAAACTCTTCCCGAGCATAGGCATTGCGCAGGTACCGATGGACTCCTCGGAACACCTCTGGGATGGAGAATCCCCTGTACTTCTTACATACAACCTGGGGGTGGGGAGAGGAGAGGGATCAATGAGATCAACATGTTAGCCTCAGGGGAGCAGCCCTGGCAGCTAGGCTCTTGGGTCTTTCCCTTCTCCCAAGACTTCCAGGATGAAATCTAGCCTTCCTGACCAGGCATTCAAGAACTCCCGCTATCTGGCTTCTCTTCCTGTGATTCTTCTCTCCTCTATGAATCATCCAACTGGCTTTCTTAACTCCTCACGATCTTCTGTCTTCACCCTTCCTCTCCACTCACTGAAATCCTGGCCATTTTTAACCAGCTCCTTTTTAGACCACCCGGTTCCATGGTGCCATTGCTCTCTTCTTGATTTTACTGAGATGTAATTCACACATCAGAAAATTCTCCACTTGAATTTCCACAGTGACTTTTGTCCCTATTTTTCATTTGGCTTTTAATCATGTTTTGTTACTTAACTTTCATGTGACTGTTCTATCTTCCTGGCTAGATTTCAAATCCTTTGAGGGGAAGGACCAATTGTCAGTCATCCATCTTTATTGTCTTTCAGTGCTTAGTACACAGATGTTCAATACAGAGGTCTGTGCAGACTGACATTAGGCCCATGTTTCACAAACTAAACCATAGCTTTGAGGCTGAGTAAAAAACATGGGAACCAGCAGTTTTCATCTTTCATCACAAGACAGAGTGGAGACCAATGCTATAAAAAGAGTTAAAGCTCTGATTTTAGGAAAAGCCTGCTTTGTGTGATGTGGGGATTTGGCAGTGATAGAGACAGGAAGAGCACTCTTGACAACAACATTGGGATATGTTACTCCCGGCCAGTCTGCACCCACAGCCTGTATCACCGAATGTTAATTCTCTAAAGCAACAGCCTTGAAGCAATGACTGGTGAGAAGGAATGGGGTGTGTCTGCTATTGGTGGCAATCCATGGAAACCATCCTAAGAAAGAAATCACCTTTGGAGCCGTTGTCATAGGGAACCTGTGTGGGAGCTTCTTCAAGAGTCATCCCAGAGGCCACCCTCTGCTCATACAATGACCACCCACCTGTACTATGTGGAGCTTTGGCAACAGGTTGCAGTCAGCGAGAGTGAGCTCATTGCCATCCAGAAACTTCCTCTGAGAGATACCCTCATCCTCAGCACTGGTCTCATCCACTTCTTCTGGGAGGGGTGATGTCAAGTAATTGTCTAAAACTTTCAGGGCTTTCAGGAGCCCCTTCTCCAGATCTGTGCAAGAAAGGGGAATTGGTAAGAACATCAGGAGAGCAACACAGTCCAGGAGGGCCTGGGGAGTGGGGCCAGTCCAAATAATAGTATCTGACACGAATGTAGTTCATTTTCCATGTGTTATTTTAAGCACTTTACACACAAAAACTCTTAATTCTCACATCAACCCATGAAACAGGCATTGTTAGCCTCATTTTATGGATCTGGAAATGGATTTACAGAGAAATTAAATGAACTGCCCAAATTCACCCAGCTAGTAGGGTTTAATCTAGCTAGGGAAGGTGTAGGTTGTCTGGATCTAGAGTCATTGTTGTTGCTGTTGTTTTTAAGATTTTATTTATTTGACAGAGAGCACAAGCCCAGGGAGAGGGAGAGGGAGGAACAGACTCCCTGCTGAGCAGGGAGCCAGATGGGATGTGGGGCAGATTCCAGGACTTTGGGATCATGACGTGAGCCGAAGGCAGACCCTTAACGGACTTAGCCATCCTGGTGCCCCCCCCTTTAAGATTTTATGTATTTATCTGACAGACAGAGATCACAAGTAGGCAGAGAGGCAGGCAGAGAGAGAGGAGGAAGCAGCCTCCCTGCTGAGAAGAGAGCCCCAATGTAGGGCTCCATCCCAGGACCCTGGGATCATGACCTGAGCTGAAAGCAGAGGCTTTAACCCACTGAGCCACCCAGGTGCCCCACCCCCCTTTTTTAAAGATTTATTTATTTGAGAAAGAGAGCACAAGCCGGAGGGAAAAGGAGAAGCAGACTCCCCACCAAGCAGGGATCCCATGACCCCAAGACAGCGACCTGAGCTAAAGGCAGACACCCAACCAACTGAGCCACCCAGGTGTCCAGAGAGTCACTGTTTTTAAGCACAACCCTCTTCTGCCACGAAACAGGCCAGCAGCCAACCCAACTAACACAGTGGTACACGAGAGGCTAGGTGACAGACAAAGAGAAACTTAAAGTCAAAGGCAATGAAAATGCAAGGAAATATTGAGTTTAAACAAAAATAAGGGGGCTGGGGTGGGAGGCAGTGAGGGTTTGCCAACATCTGCTCCATCTCCCCTATACTGGAATTTCCAGGTGCCCCTAATGCCTCCCAATCCCTGGATCTTCTCCATTCCTCCTAGCACCCTGGCCTCCAACCCTTGAGACTCACTATCATTGAGTGCTGGGTTTGAATTCTTGATGTAAGCAGAGAATTTGGCAAATATGTCCAGCCCCGCCGTGTTGGACTCAGGGTTCAGAGCTGCCAGCTTGGGGTACCTGAAAGCCAGTAGGAGAAACAGGAGAAGCTATCTTCCAGGGAGGAGCCTCAGCTCCCGTGCTCCAGCCCCCCACCATTCTGGTTTTCCATTTCTTCCACCTCCCTCTCCCCTAGAATCTCCCAGCTACCCAACCCTTCTTTTCCAAGTGTCCTTGTACCTGGGAGGGCAAAGCACCGCCTCTAGGAACTCTTCAATCTTGTTGGTGTCTGTGTGCACTTCCGTGCCATACAGCAGGAATGGGAGCTGCCCTCCTGGACACAGCTTCTGCACTGTCTCTGTCCTCCTGAGAACAGGCCAGGCATCAGGACAGGAAAATGGGGTCAGGGAGAATCAGAAAGGGGAGATGAAGCATGTGGAAAGAAAAAGGAGCTCTGGGTGGAGGGCGGGGGTGGGGGGAAAGCCACAGGATGAAAGGACTAGGATGGGTGAGCGTGCACGCAAACGGGGTGTTAGAGGAACAGAAATTGGCCCACCTCTTGGTGTCAACAGTGGTGACGTTGAAGGTGACTCCCTTGAGCCAGAGCACCATGAACAGTCTCTGGGAGAAGGGGCAGTTCCCAATCTTGGCCCCATCACTGCCAGCCTGAAAAGTAACCCCCACCCCAAGGTTAGGCCTGGTATACTCCACCTACCACAGGCCATTCTCTGCCCACCCCCCCTCCCAGATCACACCGTTTTCTGCCTAATCATGACACACAGTCTCAGGGCTAACAGCTCTCCCCAGACATGGGCTCTCCACTCTGGAGGCGGAGTAAACCTAAGGGCAGATTAGCGGGGAAGTTTTCTGCAAAGGTCAGCTTCTGGTTCCCCACAGAGTTCAGGACAGCTGGGAGGTAAGCAGAGGGATTGGGTTTGGGAGAACTCGGGAGGATCTGGACCCTAGAGAGGGAAGACAAACAGTAATGCAGTGTTACCTGCTATCCTAAGCACATACAAAAGCGTATTTAACTCTCCCAAATCCCTAGAGAGGGACTTTGGTGAGGCCAGGGTTGTAGGCTAGAGGCCTGGATTCCTGGATTCCTGAATGGAGTAGAGCCTGAGAATGGGCAAGGTACCATGGGGTTTGGAAGCCAGAGTTCTGGTTCTCTATACCTCCACCCTCCTTCTGGCAGCTGGGTAGGGAGTCAAGGGGCCCAGGGCCTCTAAAGATGTAGAGGGCTTTGTAAAGAGGGGCTGCCCTCTAACTGGCAAGTGGTGACCTCATCCCCCAAGGGACCCCCCCTGGGCTGAGAGTGATTCATCTCACACTGTCTCTGCCTCAGCGGCTTCCTTCCTGGCAAGGAGTGGGGGCAGGGACCTGTGAGGCTGAGGCCTGGGCAGCAGAGGGCCACCTTCCTCTTCCCCACACACTACTTGCGGGGTCTCCCAACACATGGCCCCAGCTCCAGATGACTCTCCTCACACTGGACCCAAGGCCAGACTCTGTAGGGCAGCCTCACCCACGAATAAAAATAGCCCTTGAGGCGAGTGTGAGTGAGGTGGGGACCACACCTAAGGGGGGCGGACCCTGCCAAGGCTGGGCACAGGGAGAAGGAATGGCTTCCCCAGAAGCCCCAAGCAGCAAGGAGGGAAAAAGCAGCAGGAACACACAAAGAAGGACGAACAAAGGGGGGAAGTGGAGAGAAAGGCGGCAGGAAAGTGAAGGGTGGGGAGAATGTGCAAACAAGGAGGCACAGACGGAGAGGGAGGTGCAGAGATGAAGTCCGGGATTGGGTAAGAATGCCCCTGCAGTGGGGAGGGGAGCAGAGCAGAGAGAGTGAAGTCCCCTAGTCCGCTGTCTGCGCTTTCATCTCCAAAGGCCAAAGGACCACCGTTCCTCATCCACACCCACTGAGA